TTGCTGCATCAGTTGAGAATAACTGTGTTTGCTTACATGTAATGAACATGCAGTGAATGCAGCCTTACAACATCTTGCCCATATTCTTTTGGTACATTCCAGTATTGTGTCTAAATGTGTTACATATAGTGCCCATTGAGCTGAATGCAGTCATGTATGTACACATCCACATATACCATATAAGGGCATACTGTCCATGTACATTGTAGGTGTAGGTGCCACTGGATACAGTGTGAGTAGTGCATCTAAAGTACATGTACACCCTTGTGTAATTTGGCAGATCTACACTGTATGTAACCATGTATACATGTACCCGTATGTATACGCAGGGTAAAGCTCCATGTTTTTATTTTTTCTGATTACGGACCATTGTACACATATGTGCATTAACATTCACATCCATAAGTGTAAAAGGATTGAAAATACATGTACATGTAACTCACCACTTCAATTTCAAAATAGATCCAAAAGTTCTTTTATCCTGAATGAACTGCCAGATAATCGTTAATGTGGCAAAGCTGTTTTAATCCAACACACTGACTACAATTGTAATCTTGTGCTTGTACACTGTAGATTCCAGCCACTATCACAAGAATTCTACTGAATCATTTCAAATGGGACAAAGAGAAATTGATGGAAAGATTTTACAGCGAGGACCAAGACCAACTCTTCAATGAAGCTCATGTTGTCAGTCCCTACAAAAAGCAACCTGTCAGACACACTTCAAGGGTAAGTAACACAGATGTTGCTCCAGTTTGTTGCGTTGGGGCAGTTGTGTGCATTGATGCTGATGTTACATTTAGTATTAAATGGGTTTTAAGATGTAAGGGAATAGGTTCTTGGTTAGAAGCTGTAAAATATATCATTCTGTCAAAGTATCCATTACAATGATATGAATGGGACCTTTCAGACTACCATGTACAGTACATGTATGTGGGTCTTTTAAATAGGCGGTCAAATGTGTGACATGGTGGTCAGAATTTCAAAATTGTCTAAACAGTCAGAACTTGTTGATATGTAATTGATAATACATACATGCAATAAATGGAAATGATTTTTGCTTTGAATAACTACTTGACGTGTACTGCCTCAATTTGTGCTGTGGTGCAGGAAATTATTTGACGTGTAACAGAGAAATTAAATATGATGGTTCTATGCATGTCATTTTTGGTAGGTAAAGGTTTCTTTTCAACTGTTGCCAATTTTGCTTTGTGTACATACCATATATTCTCATCACACGTTGTTTTTCTAGATAGGGTTTCAGGTGGCATAAAAGTGCGCAAACATTTTCCCCCAAAAATTCACTTTTTGGCTGTTTTTTTTAATTATTTTGCAAAGTGTCGTTTGGTTTAACACAAAGCAAATATATGGCACAGCTCATAGGTATGCATGCCATTTAGCTTGTGCACCTTTGCTAACATTAAGTGTTTTAAGTTTTTAGTTTAAAGAGCTTTATGACTCATTTCACATGTAACAGAGTAACCGTTTTCTCTGTTACAATACAAAAGTTAATTTACACTCGGAACTGCATTCGATTTTGTTGTAACAATAGCAACAATATTGTTTTAAATGATCATGATAATTGTGATGTCCCTGAAATACACATTGGTCCCCATATTAAAATAAAGACCCATGTACAGTGTATATGAATGAACACCACCTACTCCATGTGCTTACATTGTAAACCATCAGACTGAAGGTTATTTGCTCTTCCTTACAGGTGGCTACACGATCTTCAGGTCCTGTTCTAGAACCTTGTGAAATCTGCTGTAGGAATGTTTTAAGCACAGTGAGTCAATAAGCAAAGATACATTGTGGCTCAGAAAAAACAAGCTCGGCCATGTCCGAATTACTTGGCTGCGGCTAGAAATTACATTCGAGTCTATGTTTGTGGCCGCAGGTAAAATTATAGCCTGTGGCTTTAATATTCTTAACTTGTTGTTGCTTAGCAGTTTAATTAAATAAGTGCTTTTGTGTGTGGTCTAATTTTGCATTTACTTTGCACCTTGCAGATGATGACAGGCTTAGAATGTGGGCATAGATTCTGCATGGACTGCTGGACAGAATACCTGACTACCAAGATCATGGAAGAAGGAATGGGCCAGGTACACATACATGAATATGTGGCAGTATTGCCATTAACATTACAAACTAACACACACGTTCAGGTTTGGTACATTTCGTGAAAACCATACATTGAGCAATTGTGATCTACTGAGGCTAAATGAGGAATGATCCCCAAATTATTCATACTTGTGGAATGTAGTAGCATTTAATTGAAAAGATTCGTCCTTGGGAAATTGAAGGTTTAATTGCTTGAAAACAAAATTATCTTGAGACTTACATGTATGTGTGTTGGTTCGTACAAAACGACAATTACTGGAACTATAAATTCTCAGCGAAATAACGCAGCAAACGCCGACTTGAGAAAAAGTTATCTGGGTAATAGTTTTCAAACCGTTGTGATATACATGCAGTTAGCAATTATTTTCCAGGTCCCAAAAATGAACTCCTCTTTCAGATATTACAGGACTATTTGTGTATGGAAACCATGTTATATCCGTACCCTCTAACAAAATAGGGACTCACTTATGAAGGACCATGTAGTGAACTGTCAGGTTGATACAGATACAGATGCAAACATGTAAAAGTATGACAATGTTTACATGTACTTTCAACCCACTGTCTTAAATGCCCATTTATTTTGTCACAAAAAAATGGTTTTACATAACTGAAAACCACTTTTTTGTGCTGCAAAAAATGTTTCCAGGAATATGAGCAAAATGGTTTGACAATATACCTCTCTAAGTGTTCTTTTTATGATGTAAATTTAACTGGCTAATTATTGAGAAGCCATGTGATTTACTCCATCGTCTTTAGACCACAGGCAAACAACCAGGTGTTCCCTAACTTCATGAAATGACCCATTTCCAATTCCAATTCTGATTGGGTCTCCATTCCATATCATATTTGGCTTTGCCACATCCTTGATAAGATGCTAAGCACCCCTTATTGTTCAAGCACCTGCAGAGCCCCTTCCTTGTCAAAGTCTGGATAAATTAGCCTGGTGCTTCTCTACAGTACAAAATGCACTTGCCATTTCTATGTTTTGCTTGTCTGTATATTGTTATTAAGAAATTCTTAAAACATTTCAAACAAATTGGACTGTTTCAGACGATATCCTGTGCTGCTCACAGTTGTGACATCCTTGTAGATGACTATACAGTTATGTGAGTAACTCTAATTTCTGGATTTTAAACAAGCTGTCACTAAACCAGGGATTTCAAGAAGAAAGATTTCATGTATTTTCCTGAGGTAGTCTCCAGAGGAACATGTGATATTTAGGCGTCGTCGCCAAATTGACTAAGCATTCCAGGACGTAGACATTTTGCAGAATCACGGAGAGCACACTAATCCCTGCCAAACAAAAGAGCCGTTAACAACCCAGTGGCTCCGCGGACGGAACACAATATGCAAGCTTTATGCAAATTACCAACCTCATGAATATGCCCGATCTTCCGTGTATTGGCAGGCAATCTTTGGCAGGGCAAATCCCTTGGAATTAACACGTGGCCGAGTTTCCGCTGACCGACCGGTTGACTTCCGGTTAGAACAAGATCAGCTGCCAACTTAAAAACCACAAGGTTTTTTCTGAAGTCAGCTGGTGGGAATTCTGAAATGGATGCATATGTTTAGGTACCGTGCAGGATTTTCATGTACTGCAGTTTGCCATAATTAACTGATTTGGGGGTTTAGGACTTAATTACTTTATGTATCATTCAAGGGACTGTTTCAGCTTTTGAGTACACAGCTCTGAGAAAAATCGAGAAAAACACTTAGAATGCAGCTCGTTTAAATTTGTCTTGCAAAACACCGTGGACCTCAGGATGTTCCTGCCTGCCCGGACTGTTCGATGTGGCCCTTAAGAAAGACATTCTTTCCCTTTGTTTTTCATGGTTATTGTGGTTGGTGACTTTACCTCCAACTTTGTGTTTCATCTCCAAAAATGCAAC